CCCCCCCCCCCGGTAAATTGACCTGTACCCTTTTATTCCCCTGTGTGAAGAGAGAACCATGAGAATTAACTCGTCGACCTGCGTGGGGCCTCGAACCCAGTCCACTTGATTAGGAGTCCAACAACCACCGCGCCCCCCAACCCAGCTGAACTAAACACCCTGAACACTCACAAGCTAAGTCAACTCATGAGACACATCAAGCATTATCTCAAACATTTCTAACCTGCAGTGTACAATGGTCGGAGCCTTGGTGTCGCCATGTTTCTTCCTTGCTTCTCTCGTGGCCGTCACGAAACCAACAAACAGGGCCACGTTGGGCATGGCGCGCTCTTTCCACGATGTGAATCTCATGTGCGAGACTTCGCGCGAGGATGAAGGCTTCTGCGTTTAAAGAATAGTATGTTTTATTGAGTTATTTACTTAGTACGGTACCACGTTGACTTGACGTTCTTCATACTGAATACAAAGATAATTATTAGAGGCTGTCTTTTATCTATTTTCCTGAGTCTTTTTTGTTAGCCAATGAATGTTTTATTCCGATAATTTTGAGAGACGTTCTCTTGGCCTATCGGTAAAGGAAAACGTTTCAGGGTAAACTGAAGCGACGTATGCAAGTAACTGCCTTTTTAGAAATTAATGAAGAGTCATCAACTGATTTATTTGGCTCAAATCTTTCTTCAACACAGGTATATCTCTTTTACCCCAGTTTTCCACACAACCCGGATCACACTTTACACGTCACACGCCACATGTGCTTCACATATCGTCATATACATGACATGTTAAGCCTCTCTGTATGACGCAATACCAAGAATGTCACCTGCACGCCAAATGACGTCACAAGGGGTAAACCGAATAAGATGAAAACGAAACAAGGAAACTACCAGAATATAATCACCTTGCTGTCTGCAATGTTTAAAGTAGTCAGCGTGTAGTCTGCTTTCTTCACAATTTGTTTGACTGTAACATCGATGCCACCAAAATTCTTCGTGTTCCCTTCTCCTCTCGGCAAATAATCCATAAACTCAGTCTGATAAGAAAGCAAAAAACAAACGGGAAAATATTTACAAATTGTTCAGTAATTTGGTTTTAAAGTCAAAGTGGGTTTTCCGGAAAGTCGATAACTGTAAACTCCTGTACATGGAATAGAATTTTCTTATAAATCAAAGAGAAGAGAGGGTATTAAATTAACTGCACTGAATTGCTGTGTGCCACGATTCAAATTTATACTGTAATTTGCTAAATGTCTACTCAAATCAAAGGAAAGCCCTAAGAAAATAACACTACACCACGCACATTTGAATGGATAACACTGTAAGATAATAGGAGAAGTTGCTTGCGAGCTCCCTAGCATACTTAACAACGAGCAGTTATTTTAAAATATCCTAATAATTTACTTCGTTATCCCCACTATCGAACAAGGAGACAGTTACAGCATATTGAAAGCAAAATGTAGAATACCGGTTTCTCTTTCTCTTCCTCGTTCACCATGACAACCAGGTTGGACTTTTGTTCCCAGACCATTTGCCACAAATCTTCCGCGGTCTCGTGCAGAGGATGCTGGGTAGCAATGTAACGCGCCTGACCTTTGTGATCCTTTCAATGCAAGAAAGCATGGCGTCACTGATTTATTATTTACAAATAAAAGCATTTTAAAAGCACTCTGGGTAACGATATTTACCCTGATCCAGTTAGCATTGATGTAATCCGGATTTGAGGATAATTTTACTCGGGTCTTTGGAGCTAAAATGAAAGTGAATCTCAAATGTTATTTTTTCGCAAAGAAAGTCTTGCTTTATTAAATGCTAAAATGATAACCAACCGAGGAATGTTTACCTGGTAATACATCCGGGGACCTGTTTTTACTCTGAGTGTTTGCAGGATATTTCACTTCCTCTTCCGGTACGTCTTTGCTGAGGTTCTGGAAAAAGATACAGGTCCGCAATGCGTTAATGCGTTGGCTGGTAACCAGGTCTTGAACGGATAATTATTTTTTAAAAGTTATGATGATGAAAACATCGGTTGAGTCGGGTACTCATACCCGATATTTTCAAATTCGTTTTGAGGAGAAATACAATCTATGAACATAAATCTTACAGCTCTTAAACCAGTGTGACATATATAAATAGTGCATGCAAACTCGTTTAAGCATGTTTGTGTGAATAACTTTTTTCTAACCTTGAATTCAGCGTCTTTCTTCTTTTCGTTCCTGTTTCTAAGCGCCAAAGCCACAATACCCACAGTTCCGGTCTTGTGTGTCAGCGGTATATCTTCATCATCGATGATCGAATATGCTGACGAACGTCTCCTCCCGCGGTCTTTCAGGTCAGCGTCAATGTGTCGCAAACCAGCAGGGCTGGATTGCTTAGAACCATCTCCTTGTCCCTGATACAAGAAAATAGCAGTAACGTATGCCTCTGAAAAACTGAGATAGTTAACCTTGGCGATGAATGTTCCTGATACGCTTAAAATATTTAGAGGTTTAAAAGGTGCTCCGTTAGAGATACTATAGAGGGTACTCCTTGCTTCGTTAACAGTATTGAGCTTCAACGGAAGTAGTCCTCAGTTTCACTGTAATCAAAACAACCTCTCTGTAAACCTAAAAATTGCATTGAATTGAAGTATCAAAGCTATCTGGCCTTCACGCAGTTAAGCTGGAACTAAAAATTATTGGAACATAAACTACTGAAACCTAGTTTTAAGTAACATTTTGTCAACTACAAACTGTGCTTCTCACGTGAGATTTAAGTTTGTTTTAGTTGCTCAAATGAAACACAAACCGCTGCAGATTGTCATGTAGCCAATAGAAATGGTCCATAGCACTCGGGAGGGGCAGCAAACATTACGAGCTACCATATTTCATTACAACAAAGATATTCTTCATCTCTACATATACACCTCACGTTTATTTCAAAGTTCATCCTTTTACAAGTCGCGCCGCATACATACCTCGCCACCGACAGTTGCCGATTCCCTACGAGAGCCTCCGGAACCTGACGAAGCAGTATCGGAAGTTTGGCCACCTTGGAGCTTGTTGGTGACGTCGCCAGTTTTGTTGGCATCAGGAGCAGGGCTTGTTACAATGACAGGCGTTGGGCTCACATGCGTGTTGGAATTGCGTTCGTTAAGTTCTCCGTCGTCCTCTCTTAACCCATATGCTTGGTTCTCGTAGGAGACAGCGTTGTCATTTCCATCGTTATCAACGTTTGTACCCTACAGTTGACATCAGAAGACACAACATTTGTGACACAATTGATTGTGGTTATATTTATTTTTTGAGGGCAAAGATGCTGCTGGACAATTCAGAAATAATAATAATGTCTTCTTTCATAGTTCTGTCTTTATTTCACTTATCCTCATCGTCCCGGCTGGGACATAAGGCCATCTTTATTTGGTTCAGATAAAACGCGTCCGTCTTAATCTCGAAAAACAATCGGAGCGAAAGTATGTCATGTTCGAGCGCTCTTATCAATATGACATGTGACACTAGCGGGTCGTAAGTCTGACTGATATCTTTCTTTCACAAGACATCTTTGTTTCTTATTAATAACTCACCTTCTTTCCTTTTGGCTCTTTATCGTTGCCATCCGTGTCGTCTTCCTTTCTTCGTTTTTTCTCTTTCTTCTCTGTTTTCTTGTCGTCCTTGTCTCCTTTGTTGCGTTTTTTCTTTCTTCTTTCAGCGCCGTTCTCCTTGACGTGTACCACTTGTAGCTTTTGAGATTCTTCGTATTTTCGCCATCTTCGTCTTTTTCCACCGCAGCAGAACAGCTTCAATAATCAAGGTAGACAAATGATTGGAAAGGAAACAGCCATTGGGATCAGAAAAGTAAAGTCTCTTTCGAGTTACCACATACGTCCACTCAACATAAAACAAAAAATAGCAGTATCCCTTATAAAAATGTCTGTTTGTCCATCGTTGGTTCGTTCGCTAGTTTTTTCTTCCGTTGTTTCGTTGGTTGGTTGGTTTTTTCTTTGGTTCTCTCGCTATAAATCGTTCTTTCGTTAGTTTGCAATGTTTGCCGGATGCTTGCTCCTGGCATCGTTTTGTTGATTGGTTTCTCAGTCTCTCTTTCAAAGAGAGGTTGTTTAGATTTTTTTCTCTCCTTGGCACATGCATCCTTGCCATACACTTTTCTTCTACTTTGCGATTTCCCATTCTTTGTAACTATAATTCCTTTTTCGAGGGTCTGAATAATCAGTTCTCAGTATCGATATTGAGAAAATAAACATTTGCCATTTAGAGCTACGGCCGTTGCCTGTCAATTTTTAGTAAGACCCTGCTGGATGTTACTGCAATCAAGACAAAATTCTTCTGTTAAAATTTTAGGTTCTTTGTCAGTTATAAGCTAGCCTCGTCCATCTCTCATCTACTATTACAGGGAAGGAAACTTTTTATAACTGTAAATCCTACTTACACAACAGCATGCCAGTGTCAATAGAAGAAGACCAACAGCGCCCGCGATTGCAATAAGAATAATAGCCCAGGTTGAGAGGTCACCATTATCATATTCAGTCTTGTATTTGGTAGACTCTTCTCCGGCCAGATCAACATGGATAACCTAAAAAATTAATTTTTTTTAGATAATCTACTTGATAAAGACGTGCTTGTGTTTTCAATACATCAAAAATATCCTCGACTTAGCTTTTAAAATTCAAAGACGTTTAGTTAAACAGAGCACCAACGTTGTCTATCGTGGTTTATTGAAACGAAATCTTAAATTACCGATTTCCACTCTTAATAATAATAATAATAATAATAATAATAATAATAATAATAATAATAATAATAACATTTATAATGCGCAAATTTCATAAAATGTTCAAATGCGCATGACAAGATTAAAAACGGAATAAAGAGGCTAAAAAGCTAAAATTACAATTAAAAGTAAACTTACAATAATAAAAACAACTATGATAAAAATGCATGACGGAAAAGGTGAGTTTTTAGCTTGGCGTCAAAAATACTAACAGTGCTGGTGCTTCTTATGACAAATGGTAGCGCATTCCAAAGTTTCGGTGCAGCACAGGTAAAAGAACGGTCACCTAGTGTAGCTCTTCTATTGTGAATTATCTTTACTTTTTTGTGAGATCTAGTTTCACTTATTTGACCAATTCAGTAGGTATAAATTAGAGAAATAAGCAAAAAGCAATTAAAATTAATATCTACCTTTCCTTCGAATTCTGGTCCAAGTGCTTTAGTATTTCCGTTTTCCAGGAACATTTTTAACAGTTTGTAAGCCTTTAGGGTAAGACACTTATGCAACTTCTTCGAGCCGGACTTGGAAACGTAAAACCAGACTTCTGCCTGTTCATCTTTTTTGCTTGGGTCGGCGCAGTTCTTCTCTACGTTGATGAAAATTATCCTGTCTGGAGATACCCTGGTGCCATTTTTGTCGTACAAGCTCCACGCAGTCTTTTGCTTTAGAGTGTGCTCCAGTTTAGAGCAAAACTCGCCCCATGTGATTCCTAACTTCACCTTGACGTATAGGTTAGGTTTCTGCTCTATGGGAGGGGTACCTGAGGAGCCTGGCTCTTTCGTAGGGTCGGTCTTGCTAGTTGTCGTATCGGTTGGTTTCGGCGGTTTTGGCGGCTTCGGACACACGAAATGGTCGTAATCTCCGACGGCGTATTCGGGCGACGTCGGTGTAAGAGTGACGATCTTCACTCCGCCGTCGTAAACAGGTCTGTCTCCGCCACACTTGTACAAGTATTCATTGAACTGACCACGAGAATCAGGAGCGGCTGGTCTTACATACACGAAAAACCATGCTTGTACCATCCGTTGCTTTTTATAGTAACTTCCATAAACACATTTCCATTCTTGTAACTCGGCTTTGATGAAATGTTCGTAGTTTTTCAGACGGTTCATGTATTCTACGGAAAGATTTTTAGCCCCTTGCGGTTTAGAGTCACAGTCAGTCATATTAAGTCTGATCCGAATTCGAAACTCTTTCTGTGTTAGTGTGTTAGGGTTTATGTAAGCTTTGAAGGTTTTCACCACTGTTGTATTCCCGATTTTTCCTCGATTAACATTTTCTTTCAGTGGCTTCATTGCTTCATTGGGCTGATCTGGAGCGGCTGTCCCCATCCCTACCTTAACAATTGCTGTTTTGTTGTCCTTCATCAACTCTACCGTGACATATCTGTAGTCAGTGTCATTCTCGAAAATTCTTTTGATGGTCTTCTCCAGCTCCTTGATAGTCTT